TTGAGGAGGATACCAGAAAATGGAAAGACCTCCCCTGCTCTTGGATTGGGAGAATCAACATAGTAAAAATGGCAATTCTACCAAAAGCAATCTATAGATTCAACGCAATTCCCATCAAAATTTCATCAAACTTCTTCACAGACCTTGAGAGAACAATAATCAAGTTTATATGGCAAAACAACAAACCCACGATAGCCAAAACAATCTTATACAATAAAGGAACTTCTGGAGGCATTACCATCCCTGACTTCAAACTCTATTACAGAGCTACAGTATTGAAAACAGCTTGGTATTGGCATAAGAACAGAGAAGTCGACCTATGGAATCGAATAGAAGACCCGGGTATTAACCCACAAACGTATGAACACCTGATATTTGACAAGGGAGCTAAAGCTATACAATGGAAGAAGGAATGCATCTTTAACAAATGGTGCTAGCGTAACTGGATGTCAACCTGTAGAAGATAGAAAATAGATCCATATCTATCACCATGCACAAAACTCAGGTCCAATAGGATTAAAGACATCAACACTAATCCGACCACTTTGAACCTGATAGAAGAGAAAGTGAGAAGAAGTCTACAAGATATAGGCACAGGAGACCAGTTCCTAAGCAGAACCCCAGGAGCACAGACAATAAGAGAAACAATGAATGAATGGGATCTACTGAAACTGAGAAGCTTCTGTAAAGCAAAGGACACTGTCAGTAAGACCAAAAGGCTACCTTCTGACTGGGAGAAGATCTTCACAAATCCCTCATCAGACAAAGGTCTGATCTCCAAAATATACAAAGAACTCAAGAAACTAGACACTAAAACTCTAATTAACCCAGTTAAAAAATGGGATACTGAACTGAACAGAGAATTCACAACAGATGAACTCCGAATGGCCAAAAGGCACTTAAGGTCATGCTCAACCTCCTTAGTGATCAGGGAAATGCAAATCAAAACAACTTTGAGATATCATCTTACACCTGTCAGAATAGCCAAACTCAAAAACACCAATGACAGCCTATGCTGGAGAGGATGTGGAATGAGGGGAACACTCATCCATTATTGGTGGGAATGCAACCTTGTGCAGCCACTGTGGAAATCAGTGTGGCGGTTTCTCAGGAAACTGGGAGTCAACCTCCCTCAGGACCCAGCAATTCCACTCTTGGGAATATACCCAAGAGATGCCCTATCATACTACAAAAGCATTTGTTCAACTATGTTCATAGCAGCACTATTTGTAATAGCCAGAACCTGGAAACAACCTAGGTGCCCCTTAATAGAAGAATGGTTAATAAAGGTGTGGAACATATACACATTAGAGTTCTACTCAGCGGTAAAAAACAATGACATCTTGAATTTTGCATGCAAATAGATGGACATAGAAAACGCTTTACTGAATGAGGTAAGACAGACCCAAAATGAGGAATATGGTATGTATTCACTCATATGTGGATTCTAACCATAATTAAAGGTCTTTGAGCCTATTATTCGTGATCCTAGAGAAGCTAAATAAGAAGATGAACCTGATGAAAATCATGTAGCTATCTACCTGGAGATTGGAATTAGACAAGAGTCCCAGGTAACCTCGGGTGCATGGGGGGGGGTGGGAGGGTTGTTGGAAGGGGAGAGGGTTAGAGAGAAGGGAGTAGGGGAGGAATGGGGAAAGCTAGGTGAACTGGGATGGGGGGAAGGAGGAAGGATGGATATGAGATCAGGGAAGAATATATTTCAACTAAGGGAGTCATCTTAGGGTTTACAGGAGACTTGATTATAAATGGGATCACAGGTCCTAGGAGATCCCCAGATTGTTCTGTGGACAGAAGAGAGGGTGCCTGAAACGGCCTAGGCCCATAACCATACTGATGAATATTTTGCTTATCACCATAGAACCTTCATCTGGCGATGGATGGAGATAGAGACAGAGACCCACATCGGAACACTGGACTTAACTCCCTAGGTCCAAATGAGAAGCAGAAGGAAAGAGAACGTGAGCAAAGATGGCAAGGTCAGAGAGAACCTTCATCCCATGATGGATGGCGATACAGACGGAGACCCACATTGGAGCACCGGACTGAGCCCCCCAAGGTCCAAATGAGGAGCAGAAGGAGGAAGAAAATGAAAAAGGAAATAAGGACTGCGAGGAATGCGATCACCCACTGAAACAAGGGGACGGATCTAATGAGAGTTTACCAAGGCCAGTTGGACTGGGACTGAATGAGGACGCAATCCAACCAGATTCTCTGAATGTGGCCGGATTCTCTGAATGTGGCTGGCCCGGAGTCTTTCTGAAAAGCCATTGACAATGTCACTGGGACTTGTTTCCTCTGCATATACTGGATTTTGCGGATCCAGTCCGTCTGGACACTCACCTTCCTGGACCTGGAGGGAGGCTGGAGGAACTTGAACTTCCCACTGGGCAGGAAACCCTGACTGCTCTTAGGGATGGAGAGGGAGGAGGAGAGGGAGTTGGGGGAGTGGGAGGGTGGTGGGAGGATGGGCGGAAATGGAAACTTTTATAATTTAATAAAATTACAAAAAAAAAGCATGAAGCAGTTTGGAGAGAACTATACTGAAAATCCCCAAATTTTGTTTATAAATATTTGTTTACATTTAATGGGGGTATGCTATGGAGTTAAATACTTTGCACAGGTATGGATCTTTGGATCTTGATTTATTGATACAAATTTAAGATCAATTTTGTTATATATATATATATATATATATATATTTGTTTTATATATATATATTTCTGCTCTTGATTAAGGTGTAGTGTTTGTGCAGCTCATTTAAAAATATAATTTATTATTAAGAAATATAGGTTAATAGATAATCATCTATAATAGCCAAGTTTCTAGTCATGTTAGGTTTTCTAGATATATAGAGATATATTTCAGTTAGATAGGTATTCTTCAATTTTTTCAGAGACCTTCAAAATATTGCATTTAAAATGTTTTAAGTAGTTACAACTTTTTATGCCAATGAGACACATCTACTCCTGACAGCACTAAACTATTTTCAGAGAATGATGAGCATCTAAAATGTACTTATAGAATTTGCTAGGCATTTTGGAAAGAAAATGTTCTTGCCTGGACTGCTTGATGCTATGTTGTATGAACTGGAGATGTAGGACCCACAGGAAAATGATTGTTGAACTTGCCTAAAGGTGAGACAGTCCTTTGGGGTTCCTACTTCATGAAAGAATAAAAAGTATTTGTCAGACATTTTGCAGGACACAGAAGAAAACAACTGATGAATTTTGCCATTACAAGGCAGAACAGATCTTCAAATTTCCTGCTTCATGGAAAAGTCTGCTGGATACTATGGGCCTGTAGGCTGAAGACTGGATACCTCAAAGTTACAGAAGAACTTTGGGTGATTGTCCAGGCAGAGAATTGTTTCTGACAGTTATAGAGTTTTGGAAGTTGCTTAAAATGCATTCCCTGTTTACTTAGGTAATATTATATCCTTCTGCTGCCTTTTATGGAATTGAAGAATAGATAGCTATAGTTTTCCTTAGTTATGATAAAAGATAAGGTAGATATAAATATCATAACTATAATTCTTGCTTGATACCTGTTTTGTTGTGTGTAATTTTACTATGTTAAAGTTAAAACATTCCTTTTTATTTAGACAGAAATTGGGAGGTGATATGGGATTCCTCTCTGTATGCTGTGAATACCATTGGTTAATAAAGAAGCTGCTTTGGCCTGTGATAAGGCAGAATAGAGGTAGGCTGGAAAATTAAACTGAATGCTGGAGGAAAATGCAGAGTCGGTGAGAAGCCATGTAGCTGCTGCTGGAGACAGACATGCTGGAACCTTGTTGGTAGGCCCCAAACCTCATGGTAAAATATAAAATAATGGAAATGGGTTAATTTAAGATATAAGACATAGCTAACAATAATCTTAAGCTATTGGCCAAGCAGTTTTAAATAATATAGTTTTTGTGTAATTATTTCATGTCTGGGTAGCCGGGAACAAACAAGCAGTCTCTGGCAACTGCTGATTTAATATTAACCTAGGATTTTATATGGCCTTTTATATGTTTAAAAAACTTCCCTTATTCTTGACATATTGTTTTCATATTACACAGTTAGCTTATTTTCTTATGTACTGTCTCTATAGAGCTTGAGATGAGCCTGTAATTTTATCCTTCCTTTTATGAATATAGTCTTTATCACTTTTAGGTATTGAACACTCTCTGCATCCAAGACATAATTCTCAACAAATGTATGGTGTGTCATTGAATTTGGTTTACTATTGTTCTGTTGAGAAGTTTTGAATCAACATTCAGCAAGATTGTTGGCCAATAGTTTCTTTCCCTGTCATGACTGTTGAGAACTTACTTTAAAGTTGTCAAGTAATTCACATACTTTAGCTTTTTGACAACATTTTCTGGAGACTTCTACTTGTTTGTTTGCTTGTGTAATATATTCTATTTCTGTGCATTATGCATAACTTTGTGTTGATTACAAAAAATTAAACCCATGCATTTTATGTAAAGGAGTGGATCTGTGTCCAGAGGTGTTATAAATTTTTTTACTAGATTTCATGCGACATATTCTTGGATTTTGTCTCAAAAAGAATTGATCTATGTATCACTGAGTCAATATTTTCATGGAGGAAAGAAAAGCTCTGATTTTCTAGTCAGCTCTATTATCACTAATAATGAAAGGTATCATTTCTCTGTTGTTCAGAATTATTTCATTTACAGTAGTATTCAAGCAGACAACAGATTCTACCAAACTTAATAGCTAAGAAAAACACCTCAAAAGTAGTGACACAGAGGACATATCAATCAAGCCATGTAAAGTGATTCTATCCAAAGCTCTTTTTCTCTGTTTTAAGGAGAAAAGTCCCTCATTGAAGAGGGTAAATTACAGTTTAGCAACTTAAAGAAAACATGAGGCAAAGACATAATAAAGACCCATCACCATGTTATGGGTCATAGGTCATACTCTGTTCTATGAGCCAAAAATAGTTTCTAGGAAAGCAGTGTTGAATTCTAAATTCCATACCTGTGTTCCCCTCACTGGGAATGTGCTCATTTCATCTGATGATAAAATGGATTTTCTTCAAGAAATGGGCTTCTGTTTGCACCTGTAGGTAACAAAACAAATGGATATTCATTTCATTTCTTACTCATGGAAAGATTTTATAGCAAAAAACTAATCAGTGCACCATTAATTATAATAATTCAAGCCTTAAAATGTTCCAATAGTAAGGATTGGTTAGTAAATGATGATGCATTCATATGATGATCTACTTAGAAAATGTGCTTTCTGTACAATGTTATTAGGGGATACAAATGAGACAAACAAATGATAATTAAAGCACAAGCTAATTGGGCAGAGAAAAGCATAAGCTTTAAAACTTAAATTTTTATTAGATATGTAAATTCATTCCATGTATGTTTCCTAATCATCTGCTTTAGTCAATTGGATATAATAGTGGAGCCAAAAGGAATAAATATGGTCAACTCTTAAGTCACCTACCATGCAGGTTCAGAAATGAACAGATAAACCACTACTGTAGGGTACATGTATAAATATATGTTCATATAGATCTATACAAATTTTGCAATATGTATATATGTGTGTCTACATACATCCATGTATGTGTGCTCCTTTGCTAGTGTGTGTCTATGCAATGATAGGAAAATTTGCTAGTTAAGAAGGGAAGGGAAATTTAGCTTATATCTGAAATACAAAAGACTTAGAGATTTTCAAGCTTAAAATTCACCTTTTTTTCACATCCTGACCAAAGTTTCCCCTTTTACCTCTCGTCCCCAGACTATCCTTTCACCTCCCTTTTGCTCCACCTTGTCCAGTATTCCTCCATTTCTCTCCATATAAAAAGCCAGACCTCCCATGAATATTAACCAAACATGGCAAATCAAGTTGAAGTAAGACTAAGCACCTCCATTCATTTTAAGGTTAGACAAGGTAATCCAGTTGAGGAAAAGGGTCTAAAGAACAAGCAAAATAGTTCGAGATAGCCCCTGCTCCCAATGTTAGGAGGCCAATAAGAAAACCAAGCTACAGTACTCTAACATGTATGCAGACGGCTTAGGTCAGTCCCATGTAGGCTCCCTGGTGGCCGGTTCAGTCTTTGTGGGGCCCCTATGAGCCTATGTTAATTCTGTGGGTTTTCTTGTGGTGTCCTTCACTCTGGTTCCTAAAAGTCTTCCTTCCACTCTCCAACAGGATTCTATGAGTTTGCCTAATGTTTGACTGTGGGTCTATACGTCTGTTTCCTTCGGTTGCTGAATAAAGTCTCTGTGATGAAAATGGGCTAGGTGCTAATCTATGAGTAGAGCAGAATATCATTAGGAATCATTTAGTTTACATTTTTGCAAGTCTTGCTTGGTTCTATTCTAGGTCTCTGGGTTACCAGCTTCTGGGTTTTGGTCCTCTACCCAGAGGCAGGAGTGGACACCCTCTCATGATAAGGGTCTCAAGCTTGGCCAGTCCTGTGTTGGCCACTCCCACAATTTCTGTACAATCTTTATGCCAGCACATCTTGTAGGCAGGGAAAATTGTAGATCAAAGAATTTGTGGCTAGGTTGGTGTCACAATTCCTCCACTAAAAGTCTTTCCCGGTTGCAGAACATGGTCAGTTCAGGCTCTGTATCTCCCATTGCTATGAGTCTTATCTAGAGTCACCCTCATAGATTCCTGGGAGTTTGCACTACTAGCTCATCCCTGAAATGGCCCCTGATTCCAGTTGTCAATCTCGGTACTCTTTATTCATTCTTTAGTTGAGGGACTATTTGGTTGTTTCAAGTATCTAGCTATTATGAATAAAGCTACTATTAATATAGTTGATCAGATGTCCTTGCGGCATGATATGGCATGTTCTTTGCTCAGGAGTTAAGGTATAGCTGGGTCTTGAGGTAGATAGGTTTCCAATTTTGTTTTAAGAAACTGCCATATTGATATCTAAGGTGAACACTCATACCAGCAAAGAAGGGGTGTTCTCCTTGCTCTACATACTCACCAACATGAGTTGTCATTTGTGTTTTTTATTCTGACAAATGTAAAATAGAATCATTAAGATTGACATTTTCCTATTGGCTAAGGATGCTAAACATTTCTTTAAGTGATTCTTGGTCGTTTAAGATTCCTCTGTTGATAATTCTGTTAGGTCTGTACCTCATTTTTAATTGGATTATTTGTTTTGTTGATGTCTAGTTTCTTGAGTTCTTTATGCAATTATTCTGCTGTCAGATGTGGTGTTGGTAAAGATCTTTTCCCATTATGCTAGGTTGCCATTTTTGTCATTGACAGTATCTTTTGCCTTGCAGAAACTTTTCAGCTTTATGAGGTCCCATTTATTAATTATAAATCTTAGTGTATGTGCTATGGGTGTACTGTTAAGTAAGTTGTCTGTAGTGTTGATTTTCTCAAAGAATCAACTCTTTATTTTATTGATTAATTGTATTGTTTGCTTTGTTTCTATTTTATTGTTTTCAGTCCTCAATTTAATTATCTCTTGCTGTCTTCTCTTGGGTGTGTTTGCTTCTTTTTGTTCTAGAGCCTTCAGGTGTGCTGTTAAGTTGATAGTATGAAATCTCTCCAAATTCTTCATTAAGACAGCTAGTGCTATGAGCTTTCCTCTTGGTGCCATTTTCATTGTATCCAGTAAATTTGGGTATGTTTGTGCATTCATTTTCATTTAATTCCAGGAAGTTTTTAATTTCTTTATTTCTATCATGACCCAGTAGTCCTTCAGCAGGGAGTGTAAGTGGAGTGTTATGTCCCAACAAATCTAGTCCCAAGTAACTAATTCAGAGGCTGAATATGAATTATAAATACTTGTACAATAGTTCAAACTTGTTATTAGATAACATATTTTATGTTAACCCATATTTTTATTGAAGCTTTGCCATGTGGTTATGCCTTTTCTCCATATGACATGCCCATGTTTATCTCATTGTATCTGCCCACAACTCTCTTACTCTGCCCTTCTGCCCCTCTTCATCCCATCGTTCTAAGTTTGGCTTTTCCACCTAACTTCCAGTTTGAATACTGGCCAATCAATGTTTTATTAAACATTAAACATATTAAAATATCTAAGTGACAAATCTTTACAGTGTACAAGAGTATTATTCCACAGCAAGGGAGTTGTTCAGTTTCCATGAGTTTGCAGACTTTCTATTGTTTCTGTTGTTGCTGATGTCCAGCTTTAATCCATGGTGGGTGGTCTGATAAAATATAGGGGGTTGTTTCAATTTTCTTGTGTGTGTTAAGATTTGCTTTGTAACTGAGTTTGAGGTCAATTTTGGAGAAGGTTTCATTAAGCGCTAAGAAGAAATTTTAGTTTTCTTTGTTTAGATGAATTGCTTTGTAGCTATCTATTAGGTCCATTGGATTATGGATGTCTGCTTGTTCCATTATTTCTCTCTTTAGTTTCTGCCTGAATGAGTTGTTCATAGGTAAGAGTGAGGTATTGAAGTCACCCACTATTAATGTGTGGCATTTAATAAGTGATTTAAGCTTTACTAATGTTTATTTTACAAATGTGGGTGCCCATCCAGTTGAGGTATAGATATTAACAACTGAGATGTCATCTTGATAAAGTTTTCTTTTGATGAATATAAAATGTCCTTCTCCATCTCTTTGGATTAGTTTTGATTGAAAGTCTATTTTGTTAGATATTAGAATGACTACACAAACTTGCTTCTTGGGTCCATTTGTTTGGAAAATCTTGGATGTCGTGGTGTATTTCTTGTATGAAGCAGAGGGATGGATCCTGTCTTTGAATCCATTCTGTGTGCTCTGTGTGCTTGTGTCTTTCCTTTGGTAAATTGAGTTTATTGATATTGACAATATTAATGATCAATGAAAGTCAGTTTCTGAAATATGGCGATGGTGGTGCTGGTAATCTCCCTCTCCCTCTCTCTCTCTCTCTCTCTCTCTCTCTCTCTCTCTCTCTCTCTCTCTTTCTCTCTCTCTCCCTGTGTGTGTTTGTGTGTGTGTGTGTGTGTGTGTGTGTGTGTGTGTACACACACATCCATGTGTGCGTACATGCTTTTCCCCCTTCTTTTGGTTTTTTTTCTGGTGTGAAATTATTTATTTCCTGTGCTTTCTTGGGTGTAGTTAACCTCCTTGGGTTTGAGTTTTCCTTCTAGTACCTTATGTAAGATTGAATTTGTAAAAGATATAATTGTTATATTTGACTTTATCATAGAATAACTTGTTTTCCCCATCTATGATGATTGACAGCTTTGCTGAATTGAGTAATCTAGGCTTGTATCCATGGTCTTTCAGAGTATCCATTGAGAAGTAGGGTATAATTCTAATGGGTCTACCTATACATATTTCTTTGCCTTTTTTCCTTGGAGCTTTTAATATTCTTTGTGTAGTATGTTGATGCTTTGATTATTATGTAGAGAGGGGACTTTCTTTTCTGGCTCAATACATTTGATGTTCTATGCTCAATACATTTGATGTTCTATTTCTTTTTTTGTGTCAGGAAAATTTTATCCTATAATTTTGTTGAAAATATTCTCTGGGTCTTTGAGCTGGGAATCTTCTTCCTCTTCTATTCCTATTATTCTTAGGTTTGGTACTTCCATAATGTCCCTGATTTCCTAGATGTTATATATTAGAAACTTTTTAACTTTAACATTTTCTTTGACCTATGTACCAGCTTCTTCTATTGTATTTTATATGCCCAACTCACTCCCCCTATGTTTCTGTTCATGAAAGGGCTGGTCTTCCATGGTTCTCAACAAATCATGGCATATCAAGTTTCCATAAGACCAAGCACTTTCCCATGTATTAAGATTAGGCGAAGAGACCTGCTATGAGGAGTGGAGTCCCAATCGCTTCCATCTCTTGTATTCTGTTGATGATCTTTGTGTCTGCAGTTCCTGTTTGCTTCCCTAGATTCTCTATCTCCAGTATATCTTAGTTTGTGTTTTCCTTATTGCTTCTATTTCAGATTTAAGTCTTGAACAATTTTATTCATTTCCTTCATGTATTCATTTATCTTTTCCCAGATTCCTATAATTTATTCATCCTATTTAATGAACTCTATCATATTAATAGATTGGGTATAAGATCATTTTCTTGTGCTTCATCTCTGTTGGAATATC